TTCTTTTTTATTCAAAGCTTTTTATAAGGAACAGATCACTTGAAACTCATGTATTCCAAGCCACAAAACCATGTTTTAATAATGGGTTCAGAGCTGCTTGATAAAACATGCAATATTATATATTCAGTTTGCAGTTAAAAAGTATGAGTTCAGTTTGTGTAGTTTTGCTGTGTCCTGACACCCACATTATTTCAGTCCCTTCAATGTGTTATTATATTAAAATTGCATAACAATTAGTTTTTTTTAACAAATGAAATGTCACTTTCTTGACACAACAAAATTGCACATAATTTCTGAGAGCGCAGATAACTTCATATTGACAGAAATCCCTTGTAATCCAGGCAAAGTTTATTGTGTCATTGTGGTCCAGAAAAGAAACATCTCCCAACTGCTACTATAATTAAAAAGGAAAGATAATTTATCAAACCATTTTACAGTTTAATATAAAACTTGTTAAGCAAGCTATCTACCCCAGGATGTCAAATTGTAGGACAGTCATGAATTTAAGTGGAGTGTCCCAGTACCTTTGCAAAAACTTTCTCTGGACGGCCAGTTGTAGTAGATTATAGATTTATATAATGTGGGATTCAGTTGTTTGTGTTATTGGTTTGTAAATTTTCTGAGTGTGGATTTCTATTGGAATATCAGTTCCATGTTATTACAAGCTGTTTATAATATAAAATGATGACATCAAAGACCTCATTGCATTATGGCCTCAGAGGCTCCACAAATCTGTGTCTGCTCTGTAGTGAGTAAAACTGACATCATATGATCACTTCAGCAACATACCCCACCATCATGTCTATAGCTGAGAACTGGAAACCGTCCACCTTCACGGAAACTAGCAGCAGCTTTGATAGTGTTATCATCCACACACTTGGGAACCACAACTGCACTTGGATATGTGGCACAGACCTACAGAACATGAGATTAATTAAAACTACATGAAACTCATGAAAGCAAAGCTAAGAAAGGTCTTGTGAGGTATCTTAAATCTATGTAGACATTTATGGGCAATTCCCCACAACTTGGCTATTAATTCAATACATTTAAAAGTTCAGCAGTAACACTGCTCCTGACCTTAGGATTCTTGCATTTCTCCAATCTAGTAAGAAAAACTGAGGGAGGGTAGTTTCCATCAACAATTGAGATAGTATTGCTACTATTCATGAAGAAAACGTGGTTATTTTCTTTATTTAAATCACATTTCATATCATGTACATTTAGAATAAAAAGAGTTCTCTCTTTCCCCATATCAGAATATACAGACACTTTAAGAAAGTTTAGATTTCAAAAGATTATGAAATTACAAAAGTAATGTATTTGGGGATAACATATGTAAATACTATAAAAACACAGAAGCTCTAATTGATGCTAGTGGGGAGGTAGGCCTAGAAGTAAACACAGAAAAAACTAAGTATATGTTGGCGTCTCATCACCAGAATGTGGGACAGAATAATAACATAAAGATAGCTAGTGGATCCTATGAAAATGTGGCATACTTCAGATATTTGGGAGCAACAGTTAACAAATGAAAATTTGATTCATTAGGAAATAAAGTGCAGATTAAATATGGGTAATGCTTGCTACCATTCAGTTCACAGCCATTTGTCTTTTCGCCTGCTTTCTAAAAACATAAAGATTAAAATATACAAAATTATATAATTTTGCCTGTAGTTTTGTATCGGTGTGAAACTTGGTGTCTGACACTAAGGGAGAAACATAGCCTGAAGGTGTTTGAGAATAGGGTGCAGAGGAGAATATTTGGACCCAAGAAGGTTGAAATACTAGGTGGCTGGAGAAAGTTGTATAATGAGGAGCTTCATGAATTGTACTCCTTGCTAAATATATTTAGACTAATAAAGTCAAGGATGATAAAATGGGCAGGGCATGTAGCCCACATGGGAGAGAAGAGGAATGCATGCAGGGTTTTTGTGGGCAAACCAGAACGTAAGAGACCACTAGGAAGATGAAGACGAAAGTGGGAAGACAATATTAAAATGGATCTTAGAGAAACAGGATGGGGTGGTGTGGATTGGATTCATCTGGCTCAGGACAGGGACCAGTGGTGGGTTCTTGTGAACATGGTAATGAACCTTTGAGTTCCATAAAATGTTGAGTATTTCTTGAGTGGCTGAGTGATTGATGACTCTTCCAGAAGGACTCAGCTACATGCAGTAAGTAATTAAGTAAGTAATGTATTTGGTAGTTACCAGTGATGCCTTGATATAAATTTTTCACCAGTGCACTTGTAGTAAGAAAGTTGGGCTTTTTCTACCCCTCTTTCTCACTATCTTCAACACATTAAAAGATGTATTTTACATTGTTTGTGCAGATATATTCATGGCCAATGTTATAACAATTATCCTCTATTAAGGAGTTTTAATATTATACTGTTGATTCTGAGGTACAGTATTCAATAAATTTCCTGACAAAAGAATGACACAACATGCACAAATCAAAGAAATGCATAAACCAGGAAAGAAGAAGTATGTTAAGCAGAAACTACACATGGTATTGCAATGTAAAAATTATGATTACTCTCACACTACTAACTGGACTGAAATGGAAATTGGAATTAAAATTCATAGCAGTTCAAAAATACCATTTAGAAAAGAATTTCTTAAAACTGGGAGTTTTCACACAGAGAAGTGTCTTGCTTGGCTCTTCTTGGAGATATAATTAATTGATTATAAAACATACATCAACATTTACTGGATTATGAAAAAAATTTCATATAGAATTGAGATACTTTCTGAAATGATCTTAATGGGTGATTCTGAAAATAGATCAAAAATCAATTTTAATGTTACAAATGTATTAATCGTTAAAGTTTGCCTCGTTACACTATTTCCTAACTACATCTCTCTTGAGTCCAAAGAGTCTCCACAGTACTGTACTTGCAAATTTTTAAATTTGTGTTTGTCTCTCAATGTAAGAGACCAAGTTTCAGACCATACAAAATATAACTTAAAATTAATAATATATTTATGTCTTGCACTTTAAATCCATATAGAGTGTTCAACATTTAATGTAATATCCTATGATAAAACTGTCCATTGATTCAACACTTATACCTGAAAGTCCTTATTGATGTAGCTGATCCTCCATTCATCTCCCTGACTTGTCACCAACTGTGAATATTCTGTCTCAGGTCGGAATGCTGTCCAACCATCCTCCATGATTGGGAACAGAGGGCGGTAGAAGAAGGGGTACAGTTTGTTAGGTTCATCTGGAAGAACATTCAAGATGCTTGTGTATGCTTAAATATTCTAAATTAAACATTGAGAGAATCATGAAGGGTCACCCTCGGTGGTCTAGTGGTAGCGTGCTTGCCACTGGACCCAAGATTTAGGGGGTTCAAACACGGCCGAGGTCGACGGATTTTTAAGGGTGATAAAAGTCCGTAGCACAACTTCCTTCAGAGGGGAAGTAAAGGCGGCGGTCCCATGTCGTAGATTTACTGCATGTAAAAGAACCTTATGAGCATGAACGAGATGTTTTGTAAGCAAAATTCAGAAGCCATTTCTCACCCAAGTCTCTCCTGATTCACTACTAGATGGCTAGCAGACAAATCAGGATTGAGTAGAAAATGTGGACAGGCAGTGGGCTTGTCACTCACTACTCATAAACGCGCGCTTTAAAATATAAAGAAACCTCCCACATGGGAGGAGGCCAAGGCTCAGCTTTGGGCTGTTGCGCCATAGAGTCAGTCAGAGTCAGAATCATATTTATTTTAATGTGAGCACACCAAGTAAGCATCATATTACTCATATATTCCTCAGGATTTATAAGACAAGGAGGGTAAGTAGAAGCTCACCCAATACATCCATGTAGGCATGTTTTTAAACTGAAATAAAATTATGAAATGTTTAAAAAAGAGGTTCTCATATATAAATGAGTATGCAACATAAAATGTATATTTAATATCCATTACTTTAATTTAAAACATATTCTGATTTGGTGAAGACAATGGAGTCTCCATTAACTGACATTCTCTTAACAGGCTCTGTGGCTTAACCACTTCCCCCTTTGATAAAGCACTCCTTATTTGGATAAGATCCATCATAAAAATGAAAAATAAATTAAAGAAGGGAACACAAGAGCCATATTTTTATCACCCAATGTGATATCATGGGTGCTACATACTAATCAAGGAGTTTTGGAAGGCTCAAAGAGAACATATTGGCAGAAACTGTCAAGTTGTATTTTTAAACAATATAAACTGAGACACTAAGGGCCTCAAACATAAACAGACAAGTTGGGTCCAAAAGCTATAATATCCCATGCAAAAAGGCAAAGAAGCATTACATGTGGCCCCCTGTTATGTATAACAGGATGCTTCATCTAGACAGATGGATGTTCTACTGAAGAAGTGAAGAGTCTACGTGATGACAAAATGTGTACTGTCAGCACTTCAGAAAAAAAATGACAATTATTTTATTTAATAAAAAATAACTTAATTTACATTATTATATACATTTAAAATTATTATTGTATGGTATATCTGTGATTGATATATCATTGCTATGCTTCACTCAATGATGAATTTTTATTACTCTTTATTTATTGTTCCTAGAAGCAAAGACTGTAACTCCACTTTAAATAGCTTTTAAATTAACCATTCTACTACTTGGTGCTGATTATACCAATTAAGCAGTAGTCCAGTATACATAAGAGCCATGGTAAGTCAGTAAATTGATCTGATACAGAGAAGATTTCTGAGGTTTGGTTCCTGGCAAGAGTATTCAGATTTCTTCTATTCACTTAATTTCTTTAGAAATACAAATCACAAACTTTCCCATTATGTAATTTTATCATTTTTTCTACTTATAACCTGCTCAGGTAGGCTGATAAAGATCCTGATGGGGCAGAGGCAAGAGAGGCTCTCAAGTTATCCTTTCTGTAATATTTTATATGTATCTGACCCAAAGGAGTCTCTTCTTCTTCTGGGTTTATTATACTCTTAATACCTGTAAGGTCTTGCAAGATTTATAAACACATATCTCACCAGAAAGAAAAAAATTATTATCTCTACCTCCAAGGTCCTGTCCCACAATTGAGGTTTAGCTTCACATTCCTGTGTCCTTACAAAGAACTCAGATGTGAAGGTTGACTGGATTAATCTCACTGGAGACAAGACCATAGCCACATGAACCTATGCAGCACTCCACAGGGGGCCCAGACAGCACAGACATTTTAACAGTCACATTACCATTAGTTTGGTTTGTTTCTCTATGTTACCATATATGGAAACTATGATGTAATCTGTATGATTTGAGGTTTTCACAGTGGTAAGTATGAAGATTTCTGTTTTCTGGGTTGTTGCGCTGTGTAGTCTGGTAGATGTTTACCAATGTTTCAGAGGTCATACTGCCTCTGTCTACCAAACTACATAGCGCAACAACCCAGAAGACAGAAATCTTCATGATGTAATCTATTACAAGTCCCCTGAATCCACACAGTCCCATGAAAGTCACAGCCTGTCAGTGCAGCTGGACTTGAAGTTAGGGTTCAAACTGCCAGTGACATCATTAAGACAAACTCATTTGATGAATTTAATTTCAGATCATGTCATGGTGGAGGTTCTCATGCTGGCACAGATCATAGATCATGATTTTTGTAGCAGGCTGATGCCAATGGTTCCAAATGGGGACATTTTCATCATGGTTATTTTGTGCCAATATTCCATTGTATGCCACGGTGGTCTAGCGGTTAGAACGCTGGCCTTGTAATCCTGGGGGTCTCGGGTTCGATTCCCGGCGGTGCCCGAATTTATAACTTGTGTTGGGCAAGGCCGTGGTCTAGGCAACACGGAGTTTTCCTCCGTGGCATCCCAACAATTACTCCATTCACACACAGAAGAAGGCAATGGCAAACCACTTCTGGATCATCTGCCAAGAACGTATATGAACAGGTCCCAGTCCGAGAAAAGGATGGAAGGAACCTGTTCATATGGACCTGTCGTCAGACAGAACACTAAATAATAATAATAATTCCATTGTACACAAGCCCACTAAGAACAAGAAAATCTACAATGACTTTCTCATCAAACTAAATGCTGTCTCTAATAAGGATTTTGAATATGTGAGAATCCACATAGTAAAGATTCCACCACCACACTTCTTGTTAATTACTCTGGCAGAAACAGATGACCACTGGCCAATTTCCTAGCAGCCCTGAGGATAAGAGCAGAGATTGTTCTCAAAACGTTGGCAGAGGTATGGTTTATTCACCATTCAGCCACCTGACGCGGCTTGTAACCAGAGAGTCTTCTCCATGACCACTACTGTGAGAACCTGAAATCTCACATAATTATTTTAGCACAAGATTGTAATGATGGCTATTGTTTATCTGGAAGAATACTTCAAAATTATAGCAGTGTCTGCTTCAAGTTTCTGTTGGAAAATTCAATGGAGCAGATTAGTCTTCCTAAAGGTTGATTTCATTTTTCAGGCACTTTACTTTGGATCAAGATGCTTATTTATGTAATATCTTTAATTGATACCACCCACAGATTTTATATTGAGGTAGAAAGGACCTTAAAACCTTTGTAAATTAACAATCATAATTAATCTCTTCTTTAAGTCCAATCACCAGATCTGTTAAACACTTCAAATAAATAATTTATTCTGCAATTACATTAATAATAAACTCAAATTTGGGAAAACTTGTAAAATATTGATTTAAATTTCAGTAATCATTTTGATTTCTCCGTGAAGACACATTTTAAAAGAATTTAACATGTCAGTAATATATGCTAGGAAAATAATTTTCAACTCTCAGTTAAAATTATCCACTTCACGACAAATAGCATCATATTCACAAAAGCAGTGTCATTTCATAATGAAGTTTGTAAAATTCACCCAATACTTTTCCTTTACTCAAACAATGGACCTCTGAATGATACAAAAAATCTTCGTATCAAGAGTTCAAATTCTTAAGAAACTCCTGAAAAAGTCGATGATTGAGTTCTGAGCTCAAATATTGTTGACAATTTGAGCCACCCTTTCCACAATGTCTCTTAAAACTTCATCAAATCTTGTTACTCAACTTATCCTAGAGCATCTACTCATATGTCCAAAGAAGTCTGTATGCAACAGGATTTGATGCTAGTTAACGACAAGGCGATTATCGCTGCAGAATTTTGGAAAAATAATATTTAGTCATTGCTGATCACGGAAATGAAATTAATTGACTTGCATTCATTTTATTTACAATGTATAATGTCACAACAGGAGCCAGTAAAACTCACTCAGCATGGTGACTAGGCTACAAGTTTGACAAGTTTGGTATGATTCCAGGCAGGGCATAGTTTTTCACTTAGCTACAACATTCAGACAAGCTCTGGGACCCATCCAGTTTCATATCCAATGGGTGCCACTGTTCACTCTTCAGGGGCAAAGTGGCCAGGGCATGGAGCTAACCGTTCACTCCATTTAATATTGAATTCAAGAACAACATCTACTCCCTGTAGGGCTTGTATGGCATCCAATTTCCATTAAATTTTGGTATTAATGCACTTTCTGGCATCCTTGATTTCTTAATTTGTTTTACATGGCAAGACTATTTTGTTTGTTTCTTTTCTTGCTCTATTAACAAATGTTAGGCTTCCAACTTCTTCTCTAAAGATTCTGTTCCTAATTCTATCTTTTCTTGTTTTCCCCTCATTACTTTCCAAAAATTTCATACAAGTTTCTTGCATTTTTTTGCCTTTCTTTGTGTAAGGGTTCATGTTTTAGCATTAAATGTTACAATCAGTTTAAAGTACACTTTGAAAATTGCTAAGTAAAGCACAATACCCAGTGACAAATATTAAAATAAAATAGTTGTGTGTTACTAAGGTGAAGGTAAAAGGTACCCTTGAGGCTTAACTAAGCACCATGAAACAGAACACAATCTTCATGCCACCTACAAGCAAACATTAAGATGGAGGAAAGAGCAGTCAAAGAATTATGAAAGAAAGAAAGTGAAAAGATAGAAGAGAATGAAAAACTTTTTCTCCATCCAATTTTATAAAATGGAAAAAAAAAAAAAAAAAAACTAAAAGAAGGAGAAGCTCACTCCCCATAAGGTGCAAACAGCTTATACAGCTGACACGCCCAAAACACTACCACTAATACTAGTACTGCGCTTATAAACTTCCTTTATTAAAACAGAAAATAGGCTGTAATGTTCAATACAGCTGTTTAAACATATCCCACTTGTGTTATCACATGATGGTGGTACCACAGAGATAAGGCAAGCTGTGCCAGAGTGGGGAAAGAGCATGTTGCCCCCTCCACTTAAAAAACATGATGTTAGGGGTGTTGCTCATGATAAACTAGTGTTTGTTCCCCTTGACAAAACGTCCTCACAAGTATGTATAAGGTTCATGATAACACATACAAAACAGTAAATATCTCATTACATGGATCACATACAATTCTAAAGTCAGCCATGTCTGAAAGACTTGAAGCTTATGACATACACTTACCCAGTGATGAGAGGCTCTCAATAGTTGTAGCAACCTTTGCAAATTCATCTGGTGTACAGATGTCCAGCTGAATGATTCGAAAATCCTTGCACTTGATTATTAAACTTCCTCCTTGCAATCCATTGAGTTTCTTCTCTACTGCATCTACATTATGATGAAGAAGCTGGAACAGATACACAAAGAAATGACTGAGCTACATGAAAGAAAATACTGTATTATCTTTTCAATACAGCTTATTACAAGATAGTTTCATCTTTAAAATATATATTATGTATTGGGAGCTGTCTCACATACAAAATGAGGGTAATTTATATTACTCTTGAAACTATCACCAATGAACCAAGAACTGAAGATCTATCTATAAATGTGCAGCAGAAGATATCACATTATGTCCACCATACTGGAAATGAAGCAATGAGGATGTCTGACACTTTTCTGACTGATAAGTGACTTTTCATGTAAATCTAAAATCATGCAATGAAAGGGTTTGCTATCCCTGTACTAGTGGAAAAGTAAATGCACAAGGGTGTTAGCTTAGGCTCCATCTGTCAGTCCAGTATTTGCAGTGTCTATGAATAGAATGATGAAAGTCATTACACTGCTTGAGCTGTCCAAGTTTATTGCATTGATAAACAGAAACAAATAAATGACAAGTTAAGATCTTTGGTCTAGTACTGCATCTGTGAAGATTAGGTGCTGTGTTAGATATAAATGTTAACTTAATCATCAAAACTTGCTATCCTGTCTTATGAATTAAGTTAAACTTTTGAGTCGAATTAGAACATGGAATGTTAACTAACTATATGGCTTAGGGATCCATGTTAATGCAAAATAATGTGAGCACGTATTTTCATACTTGTTGGCTTTTCTTTCATCAATTCCTCAATAATATACAGCAATGTAAATGATTGACAGGTAAGTAACGTTGAGCAACATCAAGGACAGATGAAATATCTGATGATAGGACACCCTGATGTAGGCTAGCAACAGTACTCTCAGTGAAAGTTATATAACCATCTACCTAACTGAAAACCTTCAATATGCAGTTGTCTTGTCTATTTCATGGTATGGGACTATCCTTGTCATTCCTCTGAAAAAAACATTTTGTACAACTTTTGGAATTTATGCATATATATAGAAATGTTGCCACTGCAATGACAAATAGGCAGAATTCTTTTGTAGACATCAAATTAACAATTTCTCATATTCTCATTCAAAATTTCAAGTTGTTTTTCTTTCCCATTCTAGCAGAAGTACCAGTTCTTTGCCCATGTTTTTCATTAAATAAACTGTACTGATTAATAAAGTTGCTTATTTATTATGACAGTCTTCAGAACATACATTCTGCTTGATCAAAGAAACGTCACTGAAAGAGCCTGTATCTGTAATAATATAATGAAAACTGCTTATATATTGACAGTGCTATGAATATATTATCCTACTGATCAATGTTGTCTTTATTTATCATTATCCATGGTGACAATCTTACAAATACATATTTTTCACTGACTTAAAGAGAGGTTACTGCAATGAACAAAACGCTTATTTATTATGACAATGCTATGAGTCTTCTCCAATGACCAATGCTCTGTTTATGTATTACAACAGTGTTGTTGATCAATGTCCTACTATCCTACTAGAAGACTATCTTAATGAAGAATTTTCGAATATTGGCTACTGATAATGTAATGTATATAATGCTATATCTCCAATGGGATTATATCATAATAATTATTGTATTTTGGTAATGTATAATATAGATTAACATATCCTATATCAATGTATATTTGATCTACAGGAAATAAAGTATTATTATTATATCCCATCTATTCACCACTTTATGGGATATGTACTTCCATGCACCCGAGACAGACCTTGTCCCTAAGGTACATAGGGCAGCAGCTATTTCTGGGATCCATATTGTTTTTAGCAAGTGCCATGTGCTGCATTGTCAAGACCAGAAGTGTGAAAGGAAAGAAGTATTTCTTCCATTTTTACACGATTTGTTGGTCATTGGTAATGATTTAAAGGTTCTATTTTTGAATCTGATTGAAGACAATTTTATTTTCATCTTTGTTTTGTAAAGTATAAGTTACTTATATAGAATATGAATTTGTATGTTAGCCCTTGAAAGGGCAGTTTTCAAGACCTAGTATCTTAAATAAGATGTCAAGAATCTTAGAGCTTCAACTATGGATCTCATTCATCTCAGCATGGTAATTAGAGATCAAATATAATGTTGAGATGCAGCAACTTCACTGTTAATTGAGAATATATTAAATTCATCGTGGGTTCAACTGCCATTTCTGACATGTTATTTGAGATGGACATTTGTATGTTTGATTTATGAAATGGAGACTTGGAGATACTTTTATGGTCACCCAGTGTACTCTTGTTTCTTTACGTCCGAAAGTGCAGCGGCAAGTTATAAACCCATTAAAAGGGGACTCCACTGACTGAAACTCTTGATTCAGCTTCAGTTTTGCAGAATGGCAGTGAACCCTCCTTTGACTTCCTGCCAAACATATTAGGTGTTGGTAACCCACTGTTTATTTTTAATATAGTATTTTATTTTCCACTTTCTACACTGTCAGTTCATAAATCTCATAACAGAAGGCACACTTACATTGTCAACAACATTTCAGTTGGTAGCGTGTTTACCTACAGTATAGGTAGCTGGGGTTAGATTCCAATGAGGTGATTTTCTTAATCACCATGTCTATAACAGCTTTAGAGGAAGCAAAATTTCATTTTTTTTTAAATATTTGCATTTATTTATTTGATTTCTTCCTTTATTCACATTTTGGAATGAGAAGAGTGCAGTTGCTTCAGGGAAACTACAGGTTAGATCCAAGATTTCAAGAAGAAACACAAAAACAGACAGACACACATAAAATATATATTAGCAGTAAGTAAAATGCAACTTTTGAAGAAACAGTTCCTGAACATTATATATATATATATAAGTTCTCAAAACAGAGCTGGAAATCATCTGAAAATCCTTTCAGTGCTACCACATTGTTCTAAATGTATTCAAATGGGATTCCTTTAAGGAGATTCTTGATTTCTGGACAGGAAAAGTCATATGTTACCAAATCCAAGGGCCCATTCCTTGAGAGAATGATGATGACAAACAGGTTAAAGGAGTAGACAAATTTATTTTGGAAGTGAAGAACATTCAGAAGAGAAAAATCAATGAAGATTTTAACAGAAAAATACAAAGAGTTCTAAAATCTGTCAAATTATAAAAGGAATAAGATGTAACAAAGATATCCTTCAACTACACAAAACAGCAGCACATAAAGCATATTTTAAACCAGTTTGAATATTTAGTGATGAAACAACAGATCCTTGCAAAGAGAAGCAGATGCAAGTACAGAGGAAAAACAAGAAGGTACAGCAACAAAAATAAAATCTTGTAAAGTTGGAATCCAAAATTTATTAATAAGACTAGAAGAAAATGAATACAAAAGACTGGACATTTGAAGTAAAATTAATGGACAGAACCAGGATACTGAGCAGGGCATCAGAATTAAAATATAAAGTAAAGAGGTTCATGGGATGACCTAGAATAAGATGGTTCAGCAAGAAGACATCAAGAAGACAGGAAAGAGCTGGTAAGAAATTTAACAGGAAAGATTGGGATGGGATTAAAGAGACTGGCGATTTTTTGCCTGTAGTCCTGTGTAAAATGGAAACAATGCTACAAAAAGAAAGTAAAGTACTTTGTTATGTAATTCAGCTATTTCCTAACTAGCTAAACTGATCTCCTTCAGATCCAAATAATATACTTTATCACAGCACACATCAAATGAATATATAATTACGGGCACAACTTCACTGAAAAAGTACCTACTCTGAAGTCTATTTTTAATTGTTGCTCCAACCACAGTTACTTGTAGAAACATACCTCATTCTTCTACATTGCTACCAAAATAAGGGTGACTTGATAATCAATGAACAAACTTTCATGAAATCTGATATTGGGACTTTTACTAACATTTGTCAACACATTTCAATTTCAGTTAAAACAAGACAACAATAACAAGTTCATTACATAAAGATCTACACAAGTTCTTGTGTGTCAAAATCACTGGGTGGAAGATCTCCCATCTGCTCATAATGCGGAAGGGGGAGGGAATCCTCTGAAATGACATCATCATTTAGTCACACTGGTGAGAGATTTGTTACACTATGCATCATTTCCCAATTTGATATGTGTTGTGATGTTCTGTACATATTAAATTAAATTAAATCCGTGGCGTAACAGCTCCAGAGAGCCAAAGCCGACTAGCTTGACTGCTGGCCTCACATTCACATGCCTAAGCAGAGGTGAACGATCATCCAACCAGATATAGGGTGACGTGTGGTCAGCACGACGAACCCCCAGCCATTGCTAGCTTTCCTGACCGGATTACGCTACTCATTGTAGCTCCCCAATTTCCTCACGATACTGGGTTGGCACCGGTCCCATACACTGGTCGAAAGCTCATGAGAAAATTTCTTCTACCCTGAGACTCAAACCGGTGTGCATTCCGTATCGCCGGTCCGAAGCATGATGCCTCAGACCGCGCGGCTACGGCGCGGGACGTTCTGTACATATAGGTTTTGCAATGGGCTGATCCTCCATCCAAGAAGTCTTACAAAATGTCTAAAGAATTATAGCTTCAGAATTAATTCTGAATGTAAATTGACCACACATGAAAGCTGAAGAAAAAAAAATACAAGGGCCATATACTGGTGCCCTACTACAATGACTGGGACTTGGTGTTTTATGTGTCCTATATTTTAACTTCAGAAAACTTATTACCTTAAACTAAAGTACAAATGCATAAAAATATTTGTTTTTATTATTTTAACATTATTTGGCAGTTTCTGGTGTTTTTACTCGTATATTTCAGGACAGAGAACAGATTTCATTGTGACCCTGCAAGTTTAGAAATTCTCTTAATAATGGAAAGAAACCTAAAGCAACACATCATGATAAATACATACTGAAATATACATGTAAATGACAAGAAGTTTACTAAAACACCTGTATTTTATTGTCCCATTCTGCTACTGCTTTCACAAACCTTATGTAGCCTCTATAGAAGTAGCCTCAGCCTCACTTGTATGAGATTAAAACAAACTGATAACCAACTGGCAGTATTCATTTTAAAAACCTTGGACTGACAGCTTTCTTACGCATTCTGTTCTGACTTTGAACAACAAACTAAATATGTGAATATTACGATCAACTTGTTTGCATTCCTTCTTTATATTCTAAGGTCTCGAGTTCAAATACTGGCCCAGAGATCACGTATCATAACTGAGGTTGTTCAAGGTTTTCCTCAGCCCCTCTAGGTAAATGTCAGGACAGTACATTAAGTGAGACCATACTTATGTCCTTCCACATCCTTTCCAATTCATTACTCTCTAATCACCTTATCGTTTGTTAGTGAATTACTTGATGATATCAGTAGCTCAAACTAATAACACTGGATGGTGGGATGATTAATGAATTTGAAATGACAATATGTGGTTGTGGCCTAATTTAAGGCACTATCCTGACATTTGCCCAGAGTGATTGAGGAAAACCATAAACCTCATCTAGGATTGCCAGTCTCAAGGCTAAAATCTGAAGCTGGGTCTTCACAAATATAAAGTAGGAGTACTAACCAATTGGCTACAATGTTCAGTTGTCATCCTGTCATTATACCATGTAGTTTATGTAATTGAGATTATCATTAAAGAAACCAAGAACAGACAAATAAATAAGCAGGAACAATAATTTTCAGTTCATTATATGTAGAGGGCATTCTGACTTTCTTTTGTTATGCCTCAATTTTAACAACATACGAACATGTTACAAACACTGAGACTTTTCTTCAGTTATTACAGGTTGTTAGCCTTCTTTCCTAACACCCTTCAAATATCAACTTTGCACACTTTTCTTTAAACTCCATACATTTGTATGTATGATGATGTCAATTCATCATGGTGACAAGTTGTAAATGTGAGTACACATTTTGTTTGATTAATACCATTTATGGTCACCCTCGGTGGGGCCTTGGTGGTTTAGTGGTAGCATGCTTGCCACTGGACCCAAGATTTAGGGGGTTCAAACCCAGCCGAGGTCAATGGATTTTTAAGGATGGTAAAAATCTGTAACATGAATTCCTTCAGAGGGGAAGTAAAGCCGGCGGTCCAATGTCGTAGATTTACAGCATGTAAAAGAACCTTACGAGCATGATACAAGATGTTTTGTAAGCAAAAATGAGCGGCCATTTCTCACCCATATCTTTGGTAGAGGCCTTGCAATGGGCTGATCACTTGTCAAAGAAAGTCCCTACCAAATGTCTAAAACTAAATAGAGCAAGAAACCTCCGAAAGGAGGCGGTCAAGACCCACTCTGGGTTGCAGAACCACAAGAAGAAGGAAGAATACCATTTATACCTCAGTCTCTTCCCATGCAATGTTCCAGTAAAAATTTTGTATGCATTTTTTGTTTTGTCACATTGTACTCGAAGGGATATGCAATCTAAATTTGATTAACATCATGAGCAGTCAGTATAAGCTGTCCCACTATATGCCATGTAGGTGCTTGGGGGAGAGGGGGTATAGCTCCTACTAATTCTTGACCTTGTTACCAGATGGGGGTGAGTGGTCAGCATCACATCCAGCCGCGCTTTACCCCCAGGAAAGGACCCTAATACCCATTGGATAGGAGGCTGGGTGGGCTCCAGAACCGATCAGGATGCAGAGACTAGAGGAAAAATCCTCTGCCCCCATTGGGGATCGAACCCCGGTCATCCAGTCCATATAAATTTTGAAAAACTAATAGTCACCCAGCCAAAGAATACCCAATTCTTCATGGAAAACAAAGGTTCATATTAACAAGAGCCCACCACTGGTTGTGAATCTGGTCCACATTGTTACTTAACTATTTGTACAAGTCCACATGGCATCACAAATTAGCACCATTGACCTTTTTATTACCATAAGATACATTCTGAGGATGGTGAGTGGATGAAACTGGCTCAGGACTATCCAATGGCAGGTAACTCTGTACTTTGCTACTGGAGTGTTCTTACTAAACTTAAGTGCAAAACATGTTTAAAAAATAAGTACTATACAAATCAACTAGAAAATATTCCAACACATTTTCCCACTGGGGAGAAGAGGAATGAATTAACAGTTCAGTGGCAAAACTGATTCAAAAGCCAAGAAGAAGATGGGAGGTTGGTCTTCCCACACCCATCTTAGACATCACATCTTGAACCAAGGTACCCTTAAAAGTGGCATTCAGCTTGCTAAAAGTTGTGGAAACACTAACTGAAACATAACATTTGCCTCTTAAGTTTTGAAAAGTTGCTTTAACCCTTTACAGCTCAGTGGTACCACTGCCCTAACAAATAGTAACACTGCATTTTGAATTTATGGGTTTTATATGATTCTTACTGCCAAGAAGGATTCTTTCCCAAAAAAAAAACAGCATTACCCACGTGAAGTGTGTATGAGTAATGGACTGAATTTTTAAGTATTATTTAGATGACTTTAAACTTCAAAGGTTTAAAAAGGTTCACCATCCCTGGTCTACACTACTGTATGATATGAATGGCTTAGTGTTTAACAACATAAAATAATGGTATTTGCG